GGGGGGGGTCCAGCACCAATCCCTGGGAGATCCGAATGTTTACCTCCCTCAGCTCTGAAAACTGTTCATTTATTCCCATTCTATGTTTTCTCTTTTAATATGCTTCATGAATGATCTGGAACCGAGGGTAAAGGAACTAACCCTTGTGTAACATAGGTTGGTTCAGGATGATGAATAGCACTTTGGTTTTGGTTTTTTGGCCCCCCGAAGGGGATTTTTTAATTGCATTTTATATAAGGACTACAAACTACAATGAAAATAGCGGAGGGGAACTACATTTAAGGAGAAAGAAAAGATAACCACTACTGACTAAAAACCCAAGAGAGGAGATCATCAAATTAGCTTGTACACAATGCCATCCCTTAAAACGCTAACAATTTTATGAACTTAGTCAGATATGCTAATATAACTTTTAAATCTTAAATTTAGCTGTTGGAAAAAGACCCCTAAGCATCTCAGTATTAACCACAGTATTTTCAAAGGCACCATTCAGAGTCCTTCAGCTTTCATTTTTTCTTATCTTGTCTTTTCCGTAGTTTATAAGGACTTTTAGGAGCCGCTACCCCTTTCTCAGACAGAGAGTCCTCTCCAGAAGACCCCGAGTCCAGCTCGCCACTGGACTTACTGTCCTTTATTTCTTTATCCACCTCCTCTGGCTCACCCAACTGGATTCTCAGAAAGTCCCGTGCTTTGGAAACAGAGTCAATCTTTTCTTTTTTGTCCTGAAGTTTGAAGATTACGCCCTCTGGATATAACCATTGGTAGCTAATTGCATTTGTTTGAAGAAAAAGAATTAAATCTTTATATTTCTTTCTCCTTTGTCTTATTTCAAATGGGATATCTTTCAGAATCCTGATAGTACTGTCCCCAATTTTCAAAGGTGTCCCCGCTGTTGCTCTCAGGATACAATCTTTCACGTGCCTCTTCGAGAATCTCATTACTATTTCCCCAGGCAGATTCTTCTTCTTTATGTATACGGAATAGGACCTGTAAGCCACATCCATTTCGCTCATGAGATAGTCCGCCTTCAAATCTGTCACTGGGGCCAATGCTTCGCTCATCATTTGCTTCAGATTCTCACCCTTAGTCTCTGGGACACCTTGGAAACGAAGGACCAGGTTTGCCTTCTCCATTTGTAATTGTAAAAGCTGTTCTTCTGTTGAAATTTGCTTCTTTTCCAATTTTTGTACCTTTTTCTTCACCTTTTGAGCAGTGGCGTCACCTTCTTTCACTTTCTCAGCTGTTTGTTCCATAATTTTAAGAGTCTCGTTCTATTGTGTCTTCTGAGTAATGATACATTGGTTCATTATTGACAGCTGTTCCTTGAGATTAGTCATCTGATCCAGCAGGGGGCGCAGGGACTCTGCCAACATTTTAGCCAACTTGGTGGTTCCTTCCAGACGTGGACTCTAAACTACTTTTGCTTTTAAAAGTTTCTCCTTCTCCGTCCTCTTCCCCGCCATCTTTATGAGTTGTTTACTTTCGCAAAGATTAGCAAAGTCTCTGAATATGCGCTCAAACGCTCATACACGTCTTGGTAAGTCTTTCCCAACAGGTTTCATCGCTTTTGTTTCCGCTCCCCCCCGTCTCGCCTTTAAGTTTATGCACATGGGAGGGGCCCCTCCCCCGCTCACTTTGCTTTCTAGTCCATGGGGTAGGGAGCTTTCTTTTTGAATTGCAAATACGCCTTAATCCGACTCACAGTTCATCTTCGGTCATACAACCTCATTTAGCCTCCGTTTTAAACCGCTCGATTTCCAGTGCTTGCCCCGGTCAGCGTCACTTCTTCCATTCGGACACTCAGCAGGAGGACCATCAGGACGGAGAAGCGCCTTGATTCCCCAGCATTGCGCTGGCGAAGAGGCGACCTCTCAAAAGTCCCCTGGCTAGGAGCCTTTCAGCCAGGCTCCATGGGAGCTAGCAATTCCTCGCCCCCCTCCTTTCTGCT